TTAGGATTTAGGGAGGTTTAGGGTTTGGGGTTTAGGGAGGTTTCGGGTTTGGGGTTGAGGGGGATTGAGGGTTTAGAGACGAGGGAACTAGCATAAGTTAGCAATGACCATTTCCACCCCCTAGCACGCAAACCATAACAGTCTATGCCTGGCTGAACCTCCAACCCACCAAAAAGACCCATAGGAAGACCCACCTGAAGAACCCATACTATGGAACCACGCATACTGTAAGCCCATAGAAAATAGCATACTCAAATCCATAGCATGCCCCACCCGATAGAAAACCCAACCCGAAACCCCTCTCCCACGAAAACAGCAATGCTCACCCTGTAGGCCGTAGGGTTGAGGGAGGGCTTGTGCTCTCCGTCACCTCAAATACATAACTAGGTTTAGGCATAAGGTCGTATATATGAAGCAACCCCTGTTCGGACGACATCGGCGACTGCCACGACAGCAACCACAACGACTTCTTGACCGAAGGGTTGAAGCAAGGCGTTTTGGGGTTCGGAGTTTGAGTGTGCTCCCCTTGTCGCTTCCCCCACCAGAATACATTTTGCACCTCTTTTCACGCCCCCAACCGACCGATAGGGAACAGTGACCTTCTGTCTTGACTATTGCCATCACACCAAGTCTGCTAGTATCATGAATGTTGGCCGAATCTCTGCGCGATGCGGAATCTTCCAGATTCCTAAACTCCTCGTTGTGTTTGCAAAGACAGGGTCACAGTGGTTCTATTCGTTTTGGTAATGTTCTACGTTTTGCGTTTCCATCCTGTACTTCGCAGTATGCTTATTTTGATGCTGCTGTGTTGCTAGTGGTGGTGGTGGTGGTGGTGCTAGATGAAAGCAACCAGGGCTCTGTCGTGTCTATGGTTCGGCCGGAGGCAGACACTCTATACAATAGGGGCTTGCATAATTACCAATACTATCTTGTTGGAGTTTCTGTGTGAAAATTGTAGTAAAGTATAATTCAGAACCCTGTTCTACTTGTGATGGCCCTTACAACCTAAACCTTAAACCCGGAACCCTAACCCTAAACCCTCAACCTGTTTCTATTTCGCCGCACATCGGAGACCTTGCAAAGCGGCAGATGCTGAAAAGGTCTGCTCGATGAGTTGCTCTCACATGGGTAGTTCTCTAAGTCGGGGTCTCTTTTAGGGTTCCCTAAAGGGATCTTAGGCTTTCTACGAGGGTACTATAAGGCTTCAGTTTGGGTAGGTCTCTAAATTAGGGTCCCTTTTCATGTCCTCTTTACAAGGGTGCCGTAGTATATTTGGGACCTAATTGGGACCCTAATTTAAAGAACTACCCACTTGAATCAGAAAACATCCGGTCGGCTTAAGTGAGGGTGCCTGACACATGGTGTCGAGTACGACAACAGGGATCCCAACTACCTTTCCGGGCACTTCGCAAAATCACAATCGTCAGATCGGCCTACTCCCACCTCCCAGACATCCGTCAGGGATGCCTTGCTCCACTCCCTAAACCCTAAACCCTAAACCCTAAACCCTAAACTAGCAGCCAACGCTCCTGTGAGGAGGCCTCCTCGGGATTCCTTGCTCCGTCAGAAGTAACGTTGGTTCCCTTGATTCCCTTCATTCAGTTTTGGGACGTTCACCGTCTTATCACCTCATGGACCTGGGCGGTCCGCAAGGAGCGGCGAAACTTGCTCAAGTGTGAAGGAGTGATCGCCTCAATGGTGCTGCTGGTGATGTAGAAGTTAGAAGATGATGGTATGATGTTGATATAGCTGCATATAGCTATAGCAGCAATGAGTTATGATAGCCGCCCGGTTCTTGCAAGCTTGATTCTGATGGCTGCATGCTTGCTATGAATGCTTCCATTGTTATCTTCACTATCACCATTGCAACCACTGCAGTTACCGAAGCCTTGACTGGAGAGGGTAACTGCGCGCCCAGGCTTAGAGAAATGCCCGCAGTTCCCCGCCGATCAGATGTCCACTCTGCTGTGGAGCTTCGCGACAATCCGTCTTGGGCCAGCCTTAGCAAAGGACGACGCCGGGAGTGCCCTAATGGGGTTTCTTAGTAGGGTTCCTATAGTTATGACCCCTTTAAGTAGACTTTTTCGCCGAACTTATACTTATAACTACCCATGAACCTCCAAGTACATTCCCCTAAGCCCTAAACCCTAAACCCTAAACCCTAAACCCTAAACCCTTCCTGAAGTCCCGAGCACGCCACTGGAATCCCGGCAGCCACAAGAATCCAAACTGTCGCCTCGAGCTGAGCTCTTTCCGACCCAAAGCTTTCTTCGGAGGGGTTTAGGGTCAAGGGTTTAGGGGTTTAGGGTTAAGGGTTTAGGGGTTTAGGGTTTAGGGTTAAGGGGTTTAGGGTTTTAGGGTTTAGGGTTTAGGGGTTCAGGGTTTTCATGAGTCCTTGCAGGTAGGGTCATCACAAAGCCTTTGCACTGTAAGTGTTGATAAGGAGTTCCAGGGCTCCTGGGTACGTCTTGACCTGGAGCCTCAAGCTCTAGCACTTTGAAGGCTGTAGACCCTAAAGCCTAAACCCTAAAGCTCAAACCCTAAAGCCCAAACCCTAAAGCCTAAACCCTGAAGCCTAAACCCTAAAGCCTCCAGCAAAATCATCCCGAAAGCCTCAACCAAAATCGATCAATCGATCGTCCCCGAACCGAGCCCCTGATCCGTGCACTCGCTGGGTCCGGCTCCTGCCACCTGTGGCACTCCTCAGCCTAACACCCCCAAAGCCTCTCTAGGGTTTAGGTTTTAGGGTTTTAGGGATCCTAGGAAGAGCGTGTTGGTAAGGTTTTGCAGGGAAAGTCCTCATCGGCTTTGTCCGCGCATTTTCCAGGAGGCCCAGGTGGACCTCCTCGAGTGCCTCCCACAGCTCACGGCCCCCGCCGTCAGCGACCTCCTTTGGGTGCCATGCAGGGATTTTTAGTGGAGGCTTCGGGTTTCGGGAGTTTAAGGTTCGGCACTGCCCATTCTCCAGGGTTCAGGTTTGGGTATAGGTGCTATAGGGGCCTTAAGAATAGTATTAAGGGGTATATTCTACTATATTTACAATCTACGCAACCCCCAAAACCCTATTCTAGTTA